CCATGGTCGATCACGCAACAAGATACCCAGAAGCAGCTGCCCTGAAGAACATCGAGACGTCAACGGTAGCGGAAGCCTTGGTAAGTTTTTTCAGTCGCCTTGGTATACCTGAGTGGATCCATAGCGACCGAGGGACAGTTTACCAGTGAGATGATGGACCAAGTCCAACGTCTGCTCACAGCGAGAGCATCCCTCACCACGCCGTATCATGCTATGGGAAACGGTTTGGTAGAACGCTTCAATGGCACTCTCAAGAAGACGTTGAAGTGAATGTGCATCGAACAGCCTCGGGAATGGCCCAGATATATCAACCCTTTGTTGTTTGCCTACAGGGAGGTGCCACAGGCTAGCACAGGGTTCTCACCCTTTGAGCTTTTGTACGGTTGCACAGTTAAAGGCCCTCTGCAGGTACTGAGGAACCTGTGGGAAGGCGATGACTATACCCCTGAAACCAAGACGACGTACGAGTACGTCATCGATCTACGGGAACGGCTGGAGAACACCTGTCAGCTGGCCCGAGAATAGCTAGCAAAAGCAAAGGAGTACCAGAAGCAAACATACGACAAAAAAGCAAAAGAACGCAAGTTCAATGTAGGTGGCAAGGTACTTTTGTTACTTTCCACCAGCAGGAACAAGCTCTTGCTGCAGTGGAAGGGCCCATTCACAGTAGTGGAGTGCTCACACTCATTAAACTACGTGCTCGATGTCGATGGTGCCAGGAAGAAGTACCACGTCAACATGCTCAAATGCTACGAGGACCCTCCTGTAGATGTCTCCACGAAGCCGAAGAAGCATGTAAGATGTAAGAACAGGAGAGGACCACGGGCCTCGACATCGACAGGGCCGATCGACAACCCACTACTCTTAGCAGTAGGTGTTGACTGGTTGAGTAGGTCAGGGGTGATTAACAAAACGTCGAACGAGGGAGACATGAGCAAGGAAATGCAACGCGCATCACCGGACACTACTTCCCAGTGTGTGTGTGATGTTTCAGGCATGACACAGGTGGATAGAGGCAGTGGACAGACTAGCGCCACTCAGGGTTTTGAGGTGTTGAGCCGACCCAGACCTGGAGCTACGTCTGAGCACAGTGCCTGCTCAAGACCTGAACAGATAGCCACATGTGACCCGGTGACTGAAGAAATTCCTCACTTAACAGAAGGAAATAGTCTAGACGAGGACCCGCCTCGCCTAACAGTATAGAAAATGGGGTCTGCTCGACCCGGCCGCACCACATGCACTCAGTACGTGCACGTGCGTCAGCGGTGTGAGGTGGAACAAGCACCACTATGTGGGGCTCGGTCTTTGTTGGGGGGTGATGTGAGAGTGTGTGTCTCAAGATTCTCCCACAGCTGACTAGAATGGCTCATTGCAGTGCACAGTGCACCGAACTTCGTGCACAAGGCCCTATCTCTCTTAACCCTGGATAGTGACCTGGCATGTTGGGTATCTCCAGAATGCCCACTTAACCAGGAACACGTTTATAATACGGAGGCCGCCGTATGTCCAGGCAGGAAGTAGATACAGGGAAGTTAAGGATACTTTACACAAAGGGTCAGTGAGTACATTGGCCGGTGCCAGCGTGAGAGACACCAGCGAGGTGACCGTCTGACCTCTGGGGTCAACCGGCGTGATGGAGAATAACAGCTGTGATGTGGTCGTGATGTGTTCATTGACGTCACCTCTGCTACTGATCATCGAACGGTCAATATGATTGGTTCCCGCTCATTTGCTGCAATGCTATTGGTCAAATTGTAACCTTTTGTGTTGTGTGCCACGAGATGCCCGGCATCCCTTGCAGAGCATTCTCGTGAGGAAGCTCTTGCATAGAGGACGTGTCGTGTTCTATCGGCCAATAGACCGAACACCGTCCATTCCTCACCGTCAAGTTAACTCAGCGTCTTTTCGATATACCCATACTCGCTCAGAGTCACGATTGTGAATATATTGTTCAGAAGCCTATAGTGACAAAATCACCAGAGCGAAACAGACTGGTATCGGGTAACCCCTGGTGACAAAGATCGTTGTGAGTGACCTAGAGTGAACTAAGGCAGTGCCGCCGCCTACGTAATCTGTGTGTGACTTTACCACAGTGTACCTGTACCACAATGTACAGTGAAGTGCATGGTACCATATAACCTGCAGCCGCCAGTCGCCACTGTCCCGAGCGTGTAGCCCGCCGCCCTCACTCTACAACGTGACATCACCATCCTTACTCACCGCCCGTAATTACCTAAGTGTAATTACCTAAGTGTAGTTACAGGATGAGAGCTACGCTCGTGGTGTCCCGTCTTCCCAGCACTCTTTGTCATATAACGCTTTGAAATTACTGACGGTCTTGGCCTCCACCACCTTCTCACTTAACTTGTTCCAACCGTCTACCACTCTATTTGCGAAGGTGAATTTTCTTATATTTCTTCGGCATCTGTGTTTAGCTAGTTTAAATCTATGACCTCTTGTTCTTGAAGTTCCAGGTCTCAGGAAGTCTTCCCTGTCGATTTTGTCAATTCCTGTTACTATTTTGTATGTAGTGATCATATCACCTCTTTTTCTTCTGTCTTCTAGTTTTGGCATATTTAATGCTTCTAACCTCTCCTCGTAGCTCTTGCCCTTCAGTTCTGGGAGCCACTTAGTAGCATGTCTTTGCACCTATTCCAGTTTGTTGATGTGCTTCTTAAGATATGGGCACCACACAACAGCTGCATATTCTAGCTTTGGCCTAACAAAAGTCATGAACAATTTCTTTAGTATATCGCCATCCATGTATTTAAATGCAATTCTGAAGTTAGAAAGCATTGCATAGGCTCCTTGCACAATATTCTTTATGTGGTCCTCAGGTGATAGTTTTCTATCTAGAACCACTCCTAGATCTCTTTCTTTATCAGAATTCTTTAAAGATTTCTCACATAATATATAGGTTGTGTGGGGTCTATGTTCTCCTATTCCACATTCCATAACATGACATTTATTAACATTAAATTCCATTTGCCAAGTGGTGCTCCATATACTTATTTTGTCCAGGTCTTCTTGAAGGGCATGACAGTCATCTAAATTTCTTATCCTTCCTATTATCTTAGCATCATCAGCAAACATGTTCATATAATTCTGTATACCAACTGGTAGATCATTTATGTACACAATAAACATCACTGGTGCAAGAACTGAACCCTGTGGTACTCCACTGTGACATTTCTCCATTCTGATACATTGCCTCTGATTACTGCCATTTTTCTATCAGTCAGAAAATTTTTCATCCATGATAGAAGCTTACCTGTCACCCCTCCAATATTTTCCAGTTTCCAGAACAACCTCTTATGTGGACTCTGTCGAAAGCCTTTTTAGGTCCAGATAGATGCAGTCAACCCAACCATCTCTTTCCTGTAATATCTCTGTGGCTCGATCATAGAAACTGAGTAAATTCGATACACAGGATCTTCCAGATCGAAAACCATACTGTCTGTCTGAATTATATCGGTTTCTACCCATTTAGTTTTGGGTCAAATACAGTGCCAGTGTGCGTGTGTCTGTGACATACAACGCGCCCTCCTGCGAGTAACCCAGTGTCAAATACGGTTTGTGGGAAAACCTGTCGTCAATGGTCTCACTTCAGAACGAGGAAACCAGCTATCAGGCCACCTACGAGTGCTTGCATAAATGCACCTGAGTGAGTGAGTAAGAGAGGTACCCCATCTGTAAGTACAAGATCTTGTCATTGTTTTATTGTGTCTGTGTTGATCTGAGGGATCAACCGCAGTTCTCGCCTACTCATACCTGTCACAGGTTATAGGTGAAGTGACGGTGAATGCGTGTTTATCTGTGTGGTATCACTACATTTCACTCGTCTGTGAATGTGAGCTTCACGTACACCACACATTTAGTTATTGTGTGACATTATTATTGTGCATGTTATTGCCTGTCCCATTGACAGTGCCATTGTGTTTATTGCATATCATCATTACCCGAGTATCTGGTTGGCACCCTTGTGATCCCTTTGCATACTGGCAGTTAGGTTGCCGTGTTAATGATTGGCTGTCAACTGTGTTAAGTTAGGTGTTTCGCCACGAGTGGATCCGAGTCGATTAGCCAGATGTCAAGAGTCTCGCTAAAGCAACCATAGCCTTTCTGACGCCAGTCTAAAGTAAATCAAGCACCCTTTGTATTAGTGGTTAAGTTAGTAAATAAACTACTGTTAAGTTTTATGCGGTGTTTCATTGAACCACTTCTGAATACTGCCAATCAATTACTCAAGCCTTCAGCTCTAGGTGTTTTCAACACCGAGTTGCCTATATTCACTAAACTATAAATGTGATGAGGACCCTAGGAGTCCCTGAGAGTGTTAAATCATTGAGGAGATTCCAACGATCAACGTGGAACAGGACCAGGTGAGGCTAGTCTGAGAAAGAGACCCTCAAGGACTCTAACTCGACCTTGCTCCCAGGCCCTGTATGGTTGCTCTCGTATTTTCTATTCTGCTAATTCCGACAGTTTCGTGAAGCGTCTGCCACATGTACATTGGCGACGTACGCATTGCAGTTGTGAAAGCAAAAAAGTAAACCCCCACAAACATACATTAGCCCGATAAGCTCCAGGGAGCCTCTGGGGCTCACCCAGAAAATGGCGTTTCATTACTTTCAACGCTGGTTTTTTAGAATTTATTTTTTCCTTGTGCACAGGGGTGTAAATCTCCTCGGGACCCCTTAGCAGCTTAAGGGTTTAGGGTTAATGCAGAACAATTTCCAAAGTCGTGTCAAGTTTCAGTATCCCCTATACTGGGAACCAATATGACACAGTGATCTAAAATTTGGATTACAATTCTGTTCTGTATAAGCATTTATCTAATATTCTTCAAATGTGGCAAGTATCCTTCAATTTTTTCTCATCGCTATCAGTACAGTATTTGCACGTGTGATATAAAATTTATGGAAACAATGTAGACAGAAGCCTTTTTCCTCAATAATATAATGATTAAATTCAGGACAGTTTTTTTTTTTTTCCAACAGGACTGTGTGAAGCTTTTCAACAAGATGACACTATTTTCGTGGATATTCATGACAATGTGACACTTCCCTGCCGCCATGATACCCACAATAATACAGAGGTGTGTGTATTTTTGTATTCTATTTACTACTCTCCTAGTTGTGCTTGCCAGGGTTGAGCTTTTTGGTCCTGCCTCTTGACCATCAACTGGTGTACAGGTTCCTGAGCCTATTCATATTTACAATTAAAACTTTGTATAGAGTCTTCCTCCACACATCACTTCCTTATGTTTACCGTTTGTTCACTACTCCGACAATTAAAATTTTTTTCTGATGTCTCTGGGACTTGTTTACATACTAGGTTTTCACCTGTGTCACCTCCTTCGTGATCCACCCATGGTAAATAGTTTGTCTTTATCTACCCCTGTCAATTCCTATGAGAATTTCATAGGTGGTAATCTTGTCTTCCCAAACTTTTCTATCTTCCAATGATAGACACTGGAAGATAGAAAACTGCACGTCACTGGAAGTAAACCTTCCAGTGACGTGAGGTTTAATTCCAGCAGCCTTTCCTCATAATTCATACCCATCAGCCCCAGGACTAGTATGGTGGCATACCCCTGAAATTTCTCTTAACTTTGCCTTGTCTTTGACCAGGTATGGACTCCACTGTACTGTATTACTATGTACTGTAGATGATTTGACTACAACCTGAAGTTGTGTATACAGTACTGTGCTCTTGTTAGTTTACCCTGACAAAGGAAGAGTAAACACACAATATGGTTAACTATATGTTCTATTGATTACAGTGGTTGATGTATGGCACAATGGAATCATGATAGGGCTATAAGGCAAAGCTGTAAAGTGCAAGAGGTGGTTAAGTCAGGTCATGGCTGATAGCAAGATGTGTCTGTAGACTAAGTCCATCTTGTGCACTGGTTCCCAAACTGGGAACCATGGCCCCCAGGGGAGCCTTTTTTAAATAAATAGGGGGCCATAAGTTGAGTCAGTGTACAGGTTATGATACCAGAGAATACCAGAAGTGGCCTTTACTGAGTGTTGGGTGCCATTAATTAGGACGCTATGTGAAAAAGGGGGTAATAAAGAGCTTGGGAACTGGGATCTAGTGAGATGACTAGTTTGTGGCCGGTCATCTGTGGTATTGCTCCTGGCTGGTCTGTGGTGGTACTGCTGCTGCTGATCTGGTAATGATCTGGTGATTGACGCTGTACTCTCGAGGCCGGTCCAACGCTGCTCGCCGATTAGTCAAGGGTAGTGTGTGGTACATCCCATATTTACTAATGACACTGATGTAGCTGCTACAGCAGCTACTGTGTTATCTTCTAACAGTAAGAAGTGATTCTTCTAATACTCTTATATTGCTCTGTATCTGCATATAACCTAACTAATATTTAACTAATCTAACTTTTACACAAATATTACAGTAGAAAATATGAAATTTACATCGCAAGTATTCATTAGAGCAGGATATTTATGTAGGCAGTAATCATCACAATATTTTCACAAAGATGCAAATATGTTGGACTGCTGGCTTTTTAGCCCAAAACTGCAGTGCATTTAAGATAATTGCTATTTCTGACCTATACCTGTTGATGATTTCAAGGATCAATGTCCCAGTGGCCTGGTCTCTGACCAGACCTGGTTGGTGGTCTGGGCAGCCAGGCTGTTCTATCGAGCTGCTCGCAGCCTGACGAGCAGCCTGGTTGATCAGGTATCCTTGTAAGGTGTCTTATCAGGTTCTCGTTTGAACTCTGCAAGAGGTTGGCCAGTTTTGAGTGTTGAGATTCAGATCACTGTTCTGATATATTGATTCCTGTTCTAAAATCTTGTGTCTTTATAGAGTTTGGGTTATTTTGAGTTACATATTTATGCATATTTATGCATAGGAATAAACCAGTTTGTGAACGTACATGCATTTTGAGATAATTAAATACATTATTTGATGAAGTGAAGCCTAAGACTAATGAGTGATTATTACCATTGTTGAATGTTTTGCAGTCTTGATAGGGATTTGATGAACCCTTTAACTGCGCGGCCTATAAATATGACACCCCCCCCCAGTGCGCAGGAAATAAATTATCTTGAAAAAATTATTTAGTTTTTTTTTAAAGTGTCAAAAACACTTCCCCCAATATGGGTATGTCCAAAAAATTTCGAACTTGTACTTACTTTGGTTGCTATGGGGTCCGTAAGTTGGCACGTGACGTCATCATTCCCCATTCGCCCGTGCAGTAAGCTCCCGGGGCGGGGCGCACGAGTTGCTGCGAATATATTTTTGTTCATTTTTTGCGCACAATTCCAAATACATTTTATTTGTTTTTACGTGCTAATCCTATGTATAATGAACACGTACACTATATTATGGCAGTAAAACATCCGTACTGTCTGAGGACACTGTTACGTGCATGACACTTGTGTACACATATGTTGCACATATTTACCATGTATCATGCTAATTTATGTATATATACAATCTATTTACAGACTATACACTGTCACACACTATATACATTCACCATCAACACATTCAGAACACAGCGAGTGTGAGCAGCCACACTCAGCCAGCCCTACCTCACTCCTCCAACATCTTACTCGCCAACATTGCTCCTCCAAATCATACAGTTATTCACACCAATGTTTCATGTTCATTTATGTATATTTACAACATATGTACACACTATACACTGTCACACACTATATACATTCACCATCAACACACTCAGAACACCGCGAGTGTGAGCAGCCACACCCAGCCAGCCCTCCCTCACTCCAACATCTTACTCGCCAACATTGCTCCTCCCACCATTCTGTTATTGTTCTTATTACACTAATTACACATGTTATATATACCTATCTACATGTTTTATTTACCAGAACTATGCAAGTAAGCCGGTATTGTGTCCAAACAGTACAGTGGCCACCATACACTGCATGACAAATCACACAGCAGACAGCAGACGACGCCACGATTACGACGTCACCTCCCTCACCAAAATAGTTCCTCACAACATACTCCTGGTGCTGTTACAGTATTACACTATTCACACACACTGTATATACCAATGCACATGTGTGTTTCCCATAGCGAACCACGAAGCTAGTATGGTGAACAAAACAAGAGTTACTGCCACACAGTGAGGCTACCTCAATTCTCTCCCTCCCTCCCTCACCAAAATTCCTCCTTCCTACGCACAACGCTAATTATAACCACAATCCTGGTCACTAATACTTGTAAATGAATAATTGACCACAAGTTTATTTTGAAAAGGAACCTAAAAAGTCGTTTGAAGATTCCTAGATGGATGAAGTAATGCTGTGGTGCTGTGGCTAGCGCTGTGAACATCGTGAACAGCATTAAATCGCTGATATTTGAACATTGTACCCAGTCATTATCACACTCGGGCTCTTCTGTAATACTATCATGGCTAAATAAAACAGATTATATATATATTTTGACAATATTAGGCGATGCTGTGGTCACACGCTGAACAGCAGTGCTGTGCGCTCATGCTGCGAGTGCCAGCCTTGGTTGCTCACTCACTACTGAGGCTCTGACACCCGGCAATGTGGACCATGATTTTTTTTTAAGATGGCGTCTGTTTACAAGAGCCCTGAGGAAGCTGATGTGAACCCCATGTAGCCGCAGGAGTTTTGAATGGAACGTGAAAAATAAAAACACCCAGAGGCGCGTTGCGCACCCGAAGCCTGGGCCTGCAGGCGCGTTGCGCAGTTAAAGGGTTAAATACAAAGCCTCCTTTTTGTGTATTACAGGAATATTGGAACAAAGACAGCACTGTTCCAAGCCCAGTGTTCAAGTGCCTGTCATGAGACAGGTTTCTGATATTTCTATGGTGCCTACACTTTGAAAACATAGCAAATGTTGATAGAAATTATTGACTTTGGAAAGTGCGAAAAGTGTTCAGTAACACAGTATCAGACAAAAATTTCACAATTACTTCGTGCAAGGACTGAATTTTGTCACTGATCTCTTCCTAGATCTTTTCATGACTACCTTACACTTCACAAGGTTGGCTACATACCACCAACAGGAACTGAAGCCAAAGGTGTACATGAGTGCATTGTTTGCAAGCACATAGAATGAGGAAACAGGCAGCAAAAATCTGTGTGTACTTGGTACATCGAGTGCAAAGTCGCTCTGTGTACCATGGATTGCTTCTTTGATTATCACTTGCTCTTGAAGTACTGAGTGTGTAATACAGTGTATGACTGTAAATAGTGTGTGAGAGTGTACATAATGTAAATAAATTGAATATTCAACAAGTAATATTGCGACAATAAACATTTTCTGGGGGGGGGGGAGCCCCTTTGGCTCCCCGGAGTTATCCAGGGTGATGTGTATATCGTTAGACTTTGGTATCAGTCAATGTGAATGGCGTTCTAGGCCTACCAAGGGACTACTGCCAGAACCTGGCCCCCTCAGAGAGGCACGAGGAGCAATGGCCTATAGAAATGCACATGAGATTTGGAGCATTTTATATCTACCATCGACTGGGACAAGCACCCAGAAAGGTGAGCACCTCAAAACAAACCCCTATTCTGGTTAAAACGACTAAAATAGACAAACTAGTGGACAGAACTCCCCAAATGAAAATGTGCAAACGAGCTGTGCCACATGTTGCTCCCCCCCCCCCCCCTCCCCAGGAGGGGGGAAGGAGGGAGCCCCAGACCCCCTCCCCGGGAAGGTGAAGGGGAAGCCCCAGACCCCCTCCCCGGGAAGGTGAAGGGGAAGCCCCAGACTATCACGCTGGTGATCCACCCACCAGTTCTTTGGCTGATGTGATTGTGGCATGGTCGTGTGGCTCCAGCTCCAGACACCCTATGTTGTGCTGTACCTTGGGCTCAGTACTGCTCTTACGGTGGTGTGTGAGCTGGAAGTAATATTCACAGGTACTCGGGCTGTATGTGCTTAGAGTTCCCTTCCCTGAGTGCCCTGTAAGTATTACCCTTGGGGCTTGGGATTATCTTCCACAAGGCACATTTGGTCTACCTCTGTTGGTCTTTTACTGCTCGGCGAATGACCGCCCCAAGTGTGTTGGTGGGGTTTTCTCCCTTGTTTGCCTTGGGGTAAGTGGTAGTTTTT